GCTGGAGAACTCTCCACCCCCATCAGTGATCTGTTGCCTCCCCTGACTTGGGAAGCATCAGTCACCCATGGAGCAGTGTATCTGAGGGGGGAGGTGGAGTGGAGTAAGCAGAATGGTACTTTCCTGTCCTCTCACCCCCCAACCACTGACCCTTTGTCAGAGCAGGCAGACCCTTGTACCCAATATGTATATATCGGGCAGAGGGAGGGAATATGGGAAAAGAGCAAAAGGAGCACAGTGAGCCTGACTATGGGACTACTGCTGCTGAGCAGAGCTGACACTGCTACATGTGGCAGAAGGAGTCTCAGAAGATAAGCTTTCCTCTCCCCTCATTATCCCCATCCCCATCCCCCTCTCCTAGCCTTTGCCCTGGGCACTTAATGAGCTCACTGCGTCTCTGGAAGACCTCAGGTAGAATCCTATTTCATTTTACACACCTAAATGTCAATTAAGCAGATGTGGTAGTGGAGATAGGTTCGCCTGTCACATAATAGTCTAGTAGTTAGAGCACTCTCCCAGGAAGTAGGAGTCTTAGGTTATGGGCCCTCTCCATCCTATAGGGATTCAAGCCCACATCTCTCACCTCCTAAGAATAGTGCAACTTGACTACTTTTTCACCAGAAATTTCTAGGTAATATTTTTAACTGATTTCCTTGCACTTACCACAGAGGTTGCCTGCACACTTTTCACCATTGCACTGACTGCATGTTGCTCCTGCTTTGTAAGGTTTTGTTTGATAATTCCCACTGAAAAGCAGAACAACATCATGTTGCTAGATTAACACAGGCACAATCAAAGGCAAAGCCTGGATCTACAGGCTAGTTCCACTGCCTCTGTGAATTAGATTGCTGCCAACCTCTGTCCTAGTACATAGAAATATTTAATAATACAGTAACCATAGGAACATGTCTAAGTATGCTATGCAAGAGATATGATCTTCTCCATGAGGTTGGATATTACTTGGATTCTTTGGACTCTGGATTTCCCAAGTGTGCTCCAGAATCTTTTAAAATAATGTCAACTTACGCAGGTCCATAGTTGCAAACAAAATGTGCTGCATTGGAGATCTCAGGAAAATTTGTAACTTTATGACAGAACTGAACTGCACAGCCAACTTTGTAACTTTTGGCCCAAACAACCTGAAAAGGAAACCAAAGTATGTTACATGCTTTTTCCCCCCAGAATTAATAAGGCTACTACAACGTGTGATAAAAGGAAAAGCAGGAAATCAAGTTGGATATCTTGGGTAGCTTTGTAACAGCCCACACCAAAGGCATTGCAACTAGGGGTGTATGAAGCTTCAGTTACCAGTTCGATCCGGAGAAGATTTGGCCTGATTCAGAGGCTGAATCACCAAATTTGAAATGAATCAGGAGACCAAAACCCTCTGAATTGATTCAGAACCTCCGAACCAATTCGGAAAAGATTTGGAAAAAGATTTGGAGTGTCAGAAGGCAGTCTTTTAGGGGAACAGAAATGGAGAAGAGGGAGAGGGAGCAGGAGGGGAAAGACTGACATCTATAGCTGGCCAGTGACTGTGATCTTTCCCTGAGTCCCCTTCCAATCACAGTGTTCTGGGGGAGGGACATAGAAACAGCACATAAGGCTCTGTCTGCAGCCTTTCTGTGCCTTTTGTGAGCTGTTTCTGCCTGAGCACCGGGAAGGCCCCCTGTTACAGGCTACCATTCCTGCTGTTTTCATCCCGCTGCGCCTTAACACACACATAAGGTCACACATGTCACAAGTTTTGCTTTCAGAAGCTTGAGGTGCAGTTTCCCAGAATTCCCTGCACCTATCTCCTTGAAACCTGTCAGACTTTGTGGCCTCGGCAGGGGCTAGCACGCCTGCTGTTTTCACCCTGTTCTGACTTAACACACACACACGTGACACGTGTTTTGCTTGTCAGCACTTTGAGGTGCAGTTTCCCAGAAACCCCTGCACCTATCTCCTTGAAACTTGGCAGGCCTCATGCCCTCAGAAGCTACCATCCCTACTGTTTTCATCCAAATCTGCTAAAAAAACAACAAAGTTATAGGTATTTCAGTGATTCCCCCATTATAGTCTATGGACAAATCTCTGAATCTCTCTGAATCTGCGCCAAATCTTCTGAAGCCGATTTGGTTGAATCAATTCAGGACAGTGATCTGAATCTCTGAATTGAATCATTGTCTTCTGAATCAGTCGAATCCAAAACGAATACTTCCCTATTCGCGCAGGCCTAATAGCAACAGCTTAAGGCAGTAGTTTTCAACCTATTTAAACTCCAGGCACCCTGTGGAAAATGTTTTCATTTGAATTTTAACTACAGAGAAATAATAGAGCAATTCTTAGTTTTCATTTGAACTCTTGGTTTTCACTTGAATTTTGACTCCAAAGAAATAATAGAGCAGTTCTTCTGTTGCAAAGAACTCAGCAAGACCATGACAGGACAGAATAGTTTTTAATACAATGGATTTTTATTTTAAATCTCTTTAGTTTATCATGTGAGTTATGTTTGCCCACCTAACAGTGTTAACATTGTATAGTACTCCACAGCACCCTTGAAAGGATCTCATTGCAGCCTGGTTCAGAATCTTTTTTTTTTTTTTGTAATTTAAACAAAAAATGTAATTTCCTCAATTTATAATTTGTTTCCTCTGTGAACAGGAAAGCACCTGGAACTTACCTGGCCTATTATTTCAAAACTGAAGGGCAGGTTTTATTTTATAGGTTTTCTCAACAGTCCCAATATTTGATATTTGCCTCTCGCTGTAATAAAGAGGTAAAGTGGCCTTTTTCCTGATACTACAGTGTGGCAGTTTTTTTGTTGTATTTTGTCCATGAGAATCACTCCGAAGCAACTTTAAACAGCACAGTATCCTCTTTTCTCTTTATCACAGTATTTTTGCAGAGTTCTCTTCACCTAGAATTGTCAGTTCAAATTATGCAACTGATTTAAGCTACAATTTAAAATAGTAGACAACATGTGCTTTTCACAAATCATTTGAAAGTTGAGACAGATACAAAAAACTTACCTGGGTGTAATGGCCACACAGGCCGGTACAGGCACGGCTCTCAAAATCATACATATTGACTTCATCATACCAGTCAGTAAGGGCTGCATTCACAGAAAATAAGGTGCTGCCAGTCCAGATGTTTTCTCCAACTGGAGTAAAGGTGGGATGTACCTTTCCTGGTACTTTAAGATAGATGTTGTGACCAAAGTGACATTTCTTTGCCCATGCTCTGGCAGTTTTAGCCAGAGCGGAGTCCCAGGACTACAGAATGAAAAGAACATGAATTAATATGCATTGGGATGCAGGTTGTAGCTGTGTTGGTCTAACGACATAGGCAGACAAGGTTCTTTGGGTGAATCTGATATCTTTTATTAGACCAACTTAAATAATTGGAAAACAATTTTTAAGCAAGCTTTTGGGTTCAAAAACCTTTCATCAGACGAAGGAAGTTTCAGCAGTTGTGTGCTCTTCCTGGATGGAATGAAAAGTGAAGAAGCCAGAGGGATGAACTCCACATATTTAGAGTTCTTTAAACAGAAACTTTTCTCTTAATCTGTCTCTCTCCTGTCTCCTAGGCCTATCTTTCCTTTTGCCTCCCACCTTCACAGTCAGTATTTTTAATGTAGACACTTCTGCTTTAGCACAATCAACTTTTCTCTCCCCTTGTTCTTCAGACATTGCAAATGTATTAAATATGCCACATCTCATGTCTTTTTTTATTAAACCTACAGGTCTAGATTATGGTATTTAAGACCACTAGGATTTAGTGGGATTTGGGATGAAAACAGCTAGCCAAAAAGGAGTACAGTACTGGGGACATTATGCCTATATAAGGCCCGGTCTCCTTGTTCAGTTACTTGTTTTGCATCAGTTATTTAACTGGAACAACATGCTCTGATCTGCTGAGTGGAACCATACCTCTTACTGCCCCTTGAGGTTTGCAGACATGAATGGCTGACTATCCTAATATGCTGACCTTGGAAAGATATGGTCCATATGAGCCTGGAGAAGCAAGAATGAATACAATAGCTACATCCTTCACTCAGTCCTGATGCAACACTTACTCAGGGTACCAAGCTACTACAGAGCATTTGTATCAGCTCTTCAGTGTTTTGAGTAAGTTGGTCTTCTTAGGGGGCCATTTCTGTCCATTCTCTTATACTGCTAGTATCTGAACCATATCTGTGCAATTTAGTATTATGCCTAGCATGCTGGACCGTTAAGCTATGACAGAAATTTTAAGTGTCTTATTGTAATGGTGCTGTAAAACCTGCCCTTCACAAGGATGAGTTGAGCATTTTTTTTAAATGAAAATTAAATTGTTAATTCAGTCATGCACCTGCCCAGAATTTCCACTGTGTGAGCTTCCCCATTGTTCATCTATGTGTGTATGTATATGTGTCTGCGTGTGTGGGCAGATCCAGCAGTGCAGTGATGTGGATGCACTCCCTTTTCAGTTGATTACTTCAGGAGAGCAGAAGCCAGATACCCTTTTTAGGTCCTGGAAGCAGGTAAGAATCTCCCTCCTTCCTTCACCTCCACTTTCTCCTTCCCCATGCCCCAACTACTGCTTCTGTTTCCAACTGTCCTGAGGGTATGGGGGTAGAGGCTCCAGAGACACTCCTGCCCAATCCAGCTGGGCTCCACATGGAGCTGGGGTCAGCCTGGGACAGCAGTAGCTAGGGGTAGGTTTCTCCTCCGTGCTTGGTCCCCTTGGGTATTCCCTGCTGGCCTGCAAACAGGAGTAGGGGACAGGAATTCAACATGCAGGCAGCCTACAGTGGCAGGAGCTACTCTAGAGCCCCTGTCTCCCCCTGCTTATTCTTCCCACCTTGTCCCTGGGTCAGCCAGGGATAGCAGTTGTGGTGGATAGGAGAGGGGAAGTAATATACCACTGAGCACAGTGTGGGGAGGGAAGATTTTTTTACTTGCTTGAGGGACTTAAAGTTCCCCACTGCTGAACCTGTGGGCTAGGGACAGACATTACACATAAACTGGTTTAAGTGATCAGAAACTGATTTAAACCTGTAACAGAACAGATGTTCAGTACACATAAACCAGTTTGAAAATGACTGAAACTGGTTTGAGATAAACCTGGTTGAATGTAATATCAGATTTAACTGATTTGGGTCAAGCCAGTTTATGTAATGTCTGTCCCAGACCCCCTGCTGGTTTAAGATAATCATATTCCCCCAGCATCCTGGCATGCTCTCTGGGCTGGGCAGGGCTCTCTGCTCCACAACAGGGCTGGCCCCTCCTCTCTGCTCTCTGGCTGTAGCTCGTCAGAGACTGCAGTTGCTCCGCCCCCTCTCCCTCACCATTCCCTGCTAAGCAGGAATTCCCCCCTTCCCTCTGCCTTGTGGAGAGGTCTCTGTGTAATAGCTAGCAGACCACATGCTGGTTATGGTCCATGATGAATAACTGGTAGAATCACCAGGCAGAATTAACAGGTAGCTGGTAATGCCCCTCTGTTGTTTTCTTAATGGGGTGATAAACACTGAGTTAGGGGTGATAAACACAGTTATCAATTCCCTGCCTGGCTAATCAGAGCATCCTGCCGGGGCCTGGCCATGTCCCCCCTCCGCTCAGTGCTGTGTAAGAGAGAGAAAGGCTGCTCTGGTGCCCCTGGCTTCTAGCCTGAGCCACTGCAGGCATGTGCTGGCATTTCTGGGATGGCTGTGCAGTTACAAAGTGATTCAGCCTAGCCAGGTTAGACTAACCTGCAAATATTGAATCAATTCAGGCTCAGGCTTTTTGAATGCCTGTCCTTAGCCATGGTGTGGGGAGTAGCAATGCAACCAGCCCTACAGTGAAGGTCACTGTTCCTGCACCCCACTTTAAGAAGTCCTGGATCAGCCCAAGTGTGTGTTTGCATATGAAGTAGATGTTGTTGACTTTTCTCCCCATCCCATACCACTAGGGGAGAGACTATAAGGGCAGAGAGGAGGAATGGTAGGTGAGCAAATGCAGTGAATGAAAAAAGCATTAATTCTGATTTCTCAATCAGCTGTCAGCACAGGAGACAAAGCCTAAGCCAGTTTCGGAAATGAAGTGATCTGCATCAGCCAAAGGAACTCTCAGAAGAGTCTTTTTTTGGTCAATGCCTTGTGCCCTGCCCCTCCATGCCCTTTGCACCAGCTAAACTATGCATTGGAGAGCCAGTCATAATTGAAGAACTAATTTTTTTCCAAATAAGTAAAACTGAACAAATTTGCATCTGACTAACAATTAGTTCCTTTTTTTTCTATGATTCTCTGCTGTCTAGAGTATCTAAAATGTTCACACAACTAATGAAAAAAGTACACCAAAATTAAAAAGAAAAGTGCTAATTCAATAGCAAGTTCTGTGCTTATCAGTTAGTATGTTGTAAAGTCCTCTTACCATGCGACGCATGTTGCTGGCTGTTGGATTCACCCTAGATCGAAAATGGTTATGAATTCTCACACAATCTTCAATAAACTGAGGATTGTCTATATCAGGAAAATGTTTGTTAGAGCAAAAAGGTAGATCCAGTAATAACAGCACAGCTAGGAACAATATGATTTTCATGATCATCATGTGTTTTGATCTCTCCCAGGAATCTGAAAGAAGTATTCCGCAGCTGGAGATGGTGCTTCTTGCCTACTATATAGCTCTGTAGCTAGGAGTTGTTCTGCTCAATCATCTCTGGCATTTTTGTGGTTTGCTAAGTTGAAAACATGCTGATATCATAGTGTAACAGGAAATGAATTGCTGTACTAGCTTTGGTACAGGAGAGGAAATTATTAAGAAATAGTTCTCTGTGTAAGAATCTTTTGTTGCCTTTACAGCCCTGATTGAACCCACTCCGGTAACACCTCATGCCACATTACTATTCCATCTGTGGAAGCGCCTAAAGGGGGGTAGGATGAGTGCCATATACCATTTGTCTCAACTGGGATCCCCTTCCCTCAACTCCCCTGCCATGACTTGGTGTTAATGAATGAAAGGAGGGGTTCAGTGGTGATCCTCTTCTTGGGGACCCCGGAGGTGGCGGTGCTTACAGTCTTGCCGCCGTGTTCTGCAGGGCTCCGCCTCCCCTACACCCTGTCCACTCACCAACCGAATGGGTGTCACCTGTGTTGTTCAGCCATGTTGTTCAGCCGTGCCCTTTCTCCAGGGGGACCGGCATTGGCATGGGTTCTGGTGGGTTAGCCCAGCTGTCATGACAGCTAGTGTCTCTGCCTCAGATGCTGATAGGCTAGGCTCCCGTTTGCTGGCGTACTCCACACCGCCTCTGGGTAGGACGCCTCTAATGATTTTTACAAAGTAGACAGCTGGTGGGGGTGGAACTTCCTCCTCTCTCCCAGCCTTATACAGGGACTCAGCTTCCCCTTGCTCTGGATGTCGGCAGTGAGCTGGCTGCAATGCTCCTGCCTGCCACAGGAGCCTCACCATGCCCAGTGTGCTCCATGCCAGTGCGCTCCATCTCCTCCCCCTTGCTGGGTTCCCGTGGGGCTTTTTAATTTTCCCATGGTGGCTTCTCTGGCTGCTGTGATTGGCCCGGCTTTTCCCCACCCTGGGAACAGCTGATTGAATAGCCGGTGGTGGCTCCACTGAGCTACCACATCTAGAGAGGAAATCCCTTACAAAATTATCTTTGCCAGGACGGTGCATTGCCATAAACTTGAAAGTTTGTAGAGCCAGAGCCCAGAGAGTAATATGGGTATTTTTGCTTTGTTTCCTGGTTAACCATTGCAGTAGGGCTTGATCTGTCACCACCAGGAATTCCCGCCCCAATGGATAATATTTAAAATATTCTATTGCCCAGCGTATTGCCAGGCACTCCCTTTCGATCGTGGCATATCTGGTTTCGGTGTGGCTGAGTTTATGGCTTGCAAAGGCGATCGGGCACTCATCTTCCCCCCATCTTTGCAGTAATACAGCCCCTAGGGCGCTGCCTGATGTGTCTGTCTGCAAAATAAAAGGGGCAGAGAAATCAGAAGTGTGTACCATGACGTCGCGACACTTTGCCTCCTTCAGATCCTTGAAGTCCCTTCTCACATTTCAGGCATCCACTTTAGCGCCGCTGCCGGTTCCCCTTCGAGCTCATCTTTTGAGGGGTGCGGCGAGACCCACAAAATACGGTATGAACCTCCGATAATAATTGTTTAACCCCAAGAAGGAACAGAGTTGTCGACGGTTGCATGGTTATTGGAATTGTCGTATGGCCTCCACCTTGTCTGCCAGGGGACAGATGGTTCCCCGTCCTACCCGAAACCTCAAGTACTCAGTTTCTGTCCCTGCTAGTTTGCATTTTTTTGGGTTGGCAGTCAATCCTGCTGTTTGAAGCTCTTCCAGGACCACACTCAGGGCCTTGAGGTGTTGGTTCTAATTGGGGGTGAAGATGATGATGTCATCGATATAGGCTGCCACATATGACGTGTGTGGTGCCAGTAACGTGTCCATAAGCTTCTGAAAGGTGGCTGCCACGCCATTCAGCGCAAAGGGCATCCGTACAAATTTGAACAGGCCCCAAGGGGTCCTGAAAGCAGTTTTGGCACAGTCTGTAGCTTGCATTGGGATTTGCCAATATCCTTTGGCTAGGTCAATGGTAGATATGTATCTGGCTTCCTCGATTCTCTCAATGAGGTGGACAATGTGTGGCATGGGGAAGACATCGAAGGTTGCTAAGGCATTTCACTTTCTAAAGTCTACACACAAGTGAAGTGATCCATCAGTTTTGACCACCAGTACAATGGGACTGTGCCATGCGCTTTGGGATGGCCGGATAATTTCCTGCTTCCACATTTTTTCGCTCTCCTGCTGTATTTCCTGCTGCAGTCATTGGGGTATTGCCCTCCATCTCTCCCTAACTAGTGCACTGGGTGATGTTCTGATCTCATGCTCAATTCCCCACGCCCGCCCTGGGGTTTCCTGGAACATGTCCCAAAGGCTTCCATTACTTCCTTCAGTTCCTGTCGTTGTTTGACACCCAGATCTTCACCTAATTGCACTGGCTCCTTCGGTATGGATTCCCCTAACTCTAGACAGTGAGGTCCCAGTTCTTCTACCATCTCCTCTCTCTGTGCCAACCAGCCCTGTGGTGCCTTCCATTCCTTAAGGAGGTTTAAATGGTAAATTTGATGCTTGTGGCAGTGTCCCAGTTTGAGCACTTCATAATCCACTTGTTCTACTTGTCAGACCACCCTAAATGGGCTTTGCCACATCGCGAGATGTTTACTCACTGGCGCGGGAAGCAAGACTAAGATCATATCCCCTGGATGGAATGTTTGGGTTTTTGTTTTTCTATTATACTGAGTCTCCTGTTGTTCTCGCATGACTCACTGATTTTGGCAAGCCATCCACTGGGCCTTGTTGATCTGGTCTTGTAGCTCCTGTCGGTACCTTTCAGTGACTATTCCTGACCCCACTGGTCTCTCCCATTCCTCCCAGATGATCTATAACAGCCCCACAGGGGCTGTGGCCATATACTAGCTGGAACAGGGAATACTGCATTGACTCTTAGGGGGTGTCCCTTAGGACAAACAGTAGCGGTGTTAATATGGTGTCCCATCTATGGGGGTCTTCCTGTGAACATCACATGGGCAATCTTTTGATGGTCCCGTTTAGTCTTTTGACTAAGCCATTCACCTTGGGGTGATAAACTGATGTTTTTAAGTGGGTGATGCTGAGGGTACTACAGAGAGTCTTCATCAAACCCAACATGAAATTCATCCTCTACCCTAGTGATCCATTTGAGTAGCTCCTCTACCACACAAGTCACTGTAGTTGACCTGAGTGGGACTGCCTCTGGGAACCTCATGGCGTAATCTACTAAGACCAATACATATTGGTAGCTTCCGTGAGATTTTGGCACAATGTTGAGTGCGACACAGAGGAACCGTGTTTCAATTATAGGCATCAGTTGCAAGGGTACCCTCTGTGGTCTCCATTCCTGGGCCCTCTGGCACTCTGGGCAGGCTGCTCCCCATCTCTCCACATCTTCCTGCAGATGTGGCCAAAAGAATTCCCAGACTTGCGTTGCCCAGGTCTTGGTATTCCCTAGATGACTGCCTAGCGGGGAGTCATGGGCCAATCTCCAAATAGATCGGTGGAGCAAGGACGGGACCACTAGCTGCCGTCTTTACATTGTGCCCTCCTCACCCCTCTGGACCCGGTACAGTAGCCTCCTGATTACCTCAAAACTGGAGTGGCTCCGGGGCGTTCCTTCTCCGGGGTCCTCTGTCCTGAGCTGTTGGAGCTCCAGATCTTCTTGTTGAGCCTGGCGAAACTGCACCATGCTGGCTGCTGTACCATGTTGATACTGTCTCGGGCTGCTTCCCTCTGGTGAGGGGGGCTTCCTCCAGCCAAGCCCTCCCCACTTCTGAGTTGCTTCCTATCCTCCTCAGTCACTCATACCCGTTCAAGTACCATGAAAAACGGCCCCCATTCTCATCCCAGGATCATCTTGCAGGCCAGGGATGGTGCCAAACTGACCTGTATTTCCCCTCGGAACTCCATCATCTTCAAGGGAAAACGCAGCTCTGAAAATGCATCTTGCCACCCAATATGCGAGTCATTGCCAAGGGTCCAACTTCCTTTACTCCAGTCTGTGGGGCTAGGTCTGCTCAGAATAGGGACTGTGAGCATCCCGTGTCTAGGGTTGCCCTTACCACCCTATCCCCAATCCAGGCTGTCACGACGGGGTGGTCCCACCCTCCCTCATGTGCGATGGAACCAAAGCTACAGTCCATGGGCTCCCCTTGCTCTGCCTCCTTTCCCCTTTCGTGGGGTGGGGTGGATGTAGCCAGCCCATGCCCCAGTTTGCTCAGGTCCAGACCACATTCTCTGGTGATATGCCCAGTTCATCCGCAACGGTAGCAGATGACACCCCTTGATGCCCCCTTCTGCGGACCTATTTGCCTTTCTTCTTCTCTGGCCATGCTTCCCTTCAGGGCATGGAGGTCTCGCCCATGACCTCGCTCATTCTCTGAGCTGGAGGGCTTCCTCACTGGTCCAGGGTTGGTGTCTCCTTCCCCACACCTGGGTGTCCTCCTCCAGGTTCCAGAGGAATTGCTCCAACAAGAACTGGTCTATGGCCCCCTCCCAGTCAAACCAACCTGTGGGTAGCCATTTACTAAGCGTGTCCCGCAGGTATTGCAACAGACTGCAAGGCTGCTTGACTTCTTTCAACTTTCGGGCTTGAAATGCCTGTCTGTGGCTCTCTGGGGAAATCTCAAGCCTGTATAGGATTGCAGCTTTCATAGTGTCATAATCTCGGGCATCCTCCCTCGACAGGGCCTGATAGGTGGCTTGGTCCTAGTCGATCACCAGGGCGCCCAACTGGTGGGTCCACTGGCTGCAATCCAACCCCGTCTGAAGGGCAGTCCTTTCAAATGCCTCTGTGTAGGCCTTGGGATCATCCTCCCACATCATTCATGGCATCTTAAACAGGGCGGCATTCTGTTGCATCCACTCCTGCTGGTGTGCCCCCTGCAATTACTGTATCTCTAATACCTACCCTATGGGTTGGATAGCCTGTGTTAGCAGCTCCTCATGGTCTATTGCCGGCAACTGCATGTCTGCCTGACCCGGGTCAGGATCTCTATCCTGTTAACGTTGACGTTTTGAGAATAAATTCCCGGCCAGTGCACCACTGTGGAAGTGCCTAAGGTGGGGTATGATGAGTGCCGTGCTGTCCGTCTCGGCTGGGACCCCCTTCCCTCAACTCTCCTGCCACGACTTGGTGTTACTGAATGAAAGGAGGGGTTCAGTGGTGATCCTTTTCCTGGGAACCTGGAAACAGCAGTACTTACAGTCTTGCTGCCATGTTCCACAGGGCTCTGCCTTCCCTACACCCCGTCCAGTCGCCAACCAAATGGGTGCCGCCTGCATTGTTCAGCCATGCCCTGTAGACCCCTTTCTCCAGGGTGATTGGCATCAGCGTGGGTTCTGGTGGGCTGGCCTGGCTGTC